AGCAGCGTCTCCAGCGTCTCTGTACGTGGCCCCTCCCACCAGAGCAGCACAAATGAAGACTTGTCTCTTTCCAAACGCTCTTAAAGGACGATCGTTTTGACTGTTGACCGTGACACCCTCATCAGAAAAATGTCCAACATGAGAAAAGTGGAGCCGAGTGCAGGATTTTACAACAAAAACTGACTTATTCTTATTTACAAACAAGTTCACGTTAAAACTTTGTGTTGAAATTGTATTTTTCTTAAAGTTTCAGGTTGTTCATAATATTATAATATTTTGTAAAAGAAAGAGTTCATCAATTAAAAAAGATTTCTGTAATAGATTTGTGTTTCTCGGCACAAATATTTGAACTTATTGTTATTTTTGGGTTTATATGACATGAGTTTTCTGATCCGGACACTTTGGATCAAACTCGGTTGGTTGGATACGGACCCCCGGAACAAAATGAGTTTGACACTCCTGGTCTATTGTCTAAAGAAAGAGTGTTTTTATTCTCGTCTTTGCATCAGAATCAGTATTGAGCATCGCGTCTGTTCCTCAGTATCGTAATCGGTGTATTTTTCTGCTTTTCAGGTTATTAAATCCACAGCACCGTCTTATAAAAGTGACTGAGATTAGTGTAGGAAGACAATGCACATCGTAATACCGCCATTTAATCTTACCTCGCGTGAACTTTATTGCTTCTAATGGCAAAACAAAACATCTACTTAGCATCTCGAACCGCTTTACGAAGAAAAAAAACACATTATTCTCGGGTAATTCCAGACTCTCCTCTCTGCGTTTAGTCCTCCATCGACCTCCTTCGCTCTTGTGTGTTGTTTCCCGTCTCTTTCAAACACTTTTAGACGTTTTTTGTTTTGTTTTTGTTTTTTTTCCTCCCGTTTAATTACGCGTCTTTAAACAGTCCTATTCTCTTCGTGTTGATCTGGGGCACGAGGGGGAAAAGCTCCGGGCTGCGCTTCTGTTTTTGTGCAAGAAAAACAAGTTGGATTTTCAAGTCTGTAAAAATAACTCTGACTCTACCTGATCAAGACATTTGTACAGGATTTTCTCATTAACTTGTGAGCGTTTTGCCGAGTGATAATGCGGTTACCTCCTCAAAAAAACAGACCTGGAGTTGGGTTTTGTTTCGTTTCCTTCCACGCGTGTTTGAATAACTCTTTATTATTACTTTGTCTACATTTTCCAAAGCTCAAAATGCTCAAGTTCAAGTTAACAGCTCCTTTTCGTTCAGTGTAGATGGAGTGCGTTTACATCCACATCAGTGTCCTGGTTATGATCGGGTTTTTTGAGTTCCCCCGTTTCGTCTTGGTGCAGAATTATTTACACCTTTCAGTCTTTTCATCACATAGTTTAGTTTATGCAAATCAGCCATGCTGATGTGAAATGTAAAGCTGGTCTCTGGTCTCTGGTCTCAAGTCTCCGGTTTCCAGTCTGGTCTCTGGCCTGATCTCTGCTCTCCTGTTTCCGGTCTCGTCTCTGGGTCTTGTCTCTGGTCTGGTCTCTGGGGTCTTGTCTCTGGTCTCTGGTCTCTGGTCTCTGGTCTCTGGTCTCTGGTCTGGTCTCTGGTCTCTGGTCTCTGGTCTCTGGTCTCTGGTCTCTGGTCTCTGGTCTCTGGTCTCTGGTCTCTGGTCTCTGGTCTCTGGTCTGGTCTCTGGTCTCTGGTCTCTGGTCTCTGGTCTCTGGTCTCTGGTCTCTGGTCTCTGGTCTGGTCTCTGGTCTCTCTGGTCTCTGGTCTGGTCTCTGGTCTCTGGTCTCTGGTCTCTGGTCTCTGGTCTCTGGTCTCTGGTCTCTGGTCTCTGGTCTCTGGTCTCTGGTCTCTGGTCTCTGGTCTCTGGTCTCTGGTCTCTGGTCTCTGGTCTGGTCTCTGGTCTCTGGTCTGGTCTGGTCTCTGGTCTCTGGTCTGGTCTCTGGTCTCTGGTCTCTGGTCTCTGGTCTGGTCTGGTCTCTCTGGTCTCTGGTCTCTGGTCTCTGGTCTCTGGTCTCTGGTCTCTGGTCTCTGGTCTCTGGTCTCTGGTCTCTGGTCTCTGGTCTCTCTGGTCTCTGGTCTCTGGTCTCTGGTCTCTGGTCTGGTCTCTGGTCTCTGGTCTGGTCTCTGGTCTCTGGTCTCTGGTCTGGTCTGGTCTGGTCTCTGGTCTCTGGTCTCTGGTCTCTGGTCTCTGGTCTGGTCTGGTCTCTGGTCTCTGGTCTCTGGTCTCTGGTCTGGTCTCTGGTCTCTGGTCTCTGGTCTCTGGTCTCTGGTCTCTGGTCTCTGGTCTCTGGTCTCTGGTCTCTGGTCTCTGGTCTCTGGTCTCTGGTCTCTGGTCTCTGGTCTCTGGTCTCTGGTCTCTGGTCTGGTCTCTGGTCTGGTCTCTGGTCTCTGGTCTCTCTGGTCTCTGGTCTGGTCTGGTCTGGTCTCTGGTCTGGTCTCTGGTCTCTGGTCTGGTCTCTCTGGTCTCTGGTCTCTGGTCTCTGGTCTCTGGTCTCTGGTCTCTGGTCTCTGGTCTCTGGTCTCTGGTCTGGTCTGGTCTCTGGTCTCTGGTCTCTGGTCTCTGGTCTCTGGTCTCTGGTCTCTGGTCTCTGGTCTCTGGTCTCTGGTCTCTGGTCTCTGGTCTCTGGTCTCTGGTCTCTGGTCTCTGGTCTCTGGTCTCTGGTCTCTGGTCTCTGGTCTGGTCTCTGGTCTCTCTGGTCTCTGGTCTCTGGTCTCTGGTCTCTGGTCTCTGGTCTCTGGTCTCTGGTCTCTGGTCTGGTCTCTGGTCTCTGGTCTCTGGTCTGGTCTCTGGTCTCTGGTCTCTGGTCTCTGGTCTCTGGTCTCTGGTCTCTGGTCTCTGGTCTGGTCTGGTCTCTGGTCTCTGGTCTCTGGTCTCTGGTCTCTGGTCTCTGGTCTGGTCTCTGGTCTCTGGTCTCTGGTCTCTGGTCTGGTCTCTGGTCTCTGGTCTGGTCTGGTCTCTGGTCTCTGGTCTGGTCTCTGGTCTCTGGTCTCTCTGGTCTCTGGTCTCTGGTCTCTGGTCTCTGGTCTCTCTGGTCTCTCTGGTCTCTGGTCTCTCTGGTCTCTGGTCTGGTCTCTGGTCTCTGGTCTCTGGTCTCTGGTCTCTGGTCTCTGGTCTCTGGTCTCTGGTCTCTGGTCTCTGGTCTCTGGTCTCTGGTCTCTGGTCTCTGGTCTCTGGTCTCTGGTCTGGTCTGGTCTCTGGTCTCTGGTCTCTGGTCTCTGGTCTCTGGTCTGGTCTGGTCTCTGGTCTCTGGTCTCTCTGGTCTCTGGTCTCTGGTCTGGTCTGGTCTGGTCTGGTCTCTGGTCTGGTCTGGTCTCTGGTCTCTGGTCTCTGGTCTCTGGTCTCTGGTCTCTGGTCTCTGGTCTCTGGTCTCTGGTCTCTGGTCTCTGGTCTGGTCTCTGGTCTGGTCTGGTCTCTGGTCTCTGGTCTCTGGTCTCTGGTCTGGTCTGGTCTCTGGTCTCTGGTCTCTGGTCTCTGGTCTCTGGTCTCTGGTCTCTGGTCTCTGGTCTGGTCTCTGGTCTCTGGTCTCTGGTCTCTGGTCTCTGGTCTCTGGTCTCTGGTCTCTGGTCTCTGGTCTCTGGTCTCTGGTCTCTGGTCTCTGGTCTCTGGTCTCTGGTCTCTGGTCTCTGGTCTCTGGTCTCTGGTCTGGTCTCTGGTCTCTGGTCTCTGGTCTGGTCTCTGGTCTCTGGTCTCTGGTCTCTGGTCTCTGGTCTCTGGTCTCTGGTCTGGTCTCTGGTCTCTGGTCTCTGGTCTCTGGTCTCTGGTCTCTGGTCTCTGGTCTCTGGTCTCTGGTCTCTGGTCTCTGGTCTCTGGTCTCTGGTCTCTGGTCTCTGGTCTCTGGTCTGGTCTCTGGTCTCTGGTCTCTGGTCTCTGGTCTGGTCTCTGGTCTCTGGTCTGGTCTCTGGTCTCTGGTCTCTGGTCTCTGGTCTCTGGTCTCTGGTCTGGTCTGGTCTCTGGTCTGGTCTCTGGTCTGGTCTCTGGTCTCTGGTCTCTGGTCTCTGGTCTCTGGTCTCTCTGGTCTCTGGTCTCTGGTCTCTGGTCTCTGGTCTCTGGTCTCTGGTCTCTGGTCTCTGGTCTCTGGTCTCTGGTCTCTGGTCTGGTCTGGTCTCTCTGGTCTCTGGTCTCTGGTCTCTGGTCTCTGGTCTCTGGTCTGGTCTCTGGTCTCTGGTCTGGTCTGGTCTGGTCTCTGGTCTCTGGTCTGGTCTGGTCTGGTCTGGTCTGGTCTCTGGTCTCTGGTCTGGTCTCTGGTCTGGTCTGGTCTGGTCTCTGGTCTGGTCTGGTCTGGTCTGGTCTCTGGTCTGGCTGGTCTGGTCTGGTCTCTGGTCTCTGGTCTGGTCTCTGGTCTCTGGTCTCTGGTCTCTGGTCTGGTCTGGTCTCTGGTCTGGTCTCTGGTCTCTGGTCTCTCTGGTCTGGTCTCTGGTCTGGTCTCTGGTCTCTGGTCTCTGGTCTGGTCTGGTCTCTGGTCTCTGGTCTCTGGTCTCTGGTCTGGTCTCTGGTCTGGTCTGGTCTCTGGTCTCTGGTCTCTCTGGTCTGGTCTCTGGTCTGGTCTCTGGTCTGGTCTGGTCTCTGGTCTCTGGTCATTAAATACTTTATAATCTCATGGTTGTTTGTATTTTTCCTGTTTATTAAATATATCATTTTTGACTCTCGCATTTGTAAGATTATGTGAAGAAACCGGGAGTTTATCATCGTAAAAACCCAGTGGAGCACTTCCTGTGTTACTGCATGACGTCACAGGGCTAAATGTGCAGGGTTTGTGTGTTAAACATGTGTGAACGAAACAAAACACAAAACACAAAACACAACTCCAGGTCTGTTTGTGACGAGGAAACGACATCAGAACAGATCAGAAACCGTCAGTCCAGTTGATTTTTGTTTCACGTGTGTTTTAAACAGTTTTGATGTCTTCAGTGAGAATCTGAAGTGTAAATAATCATGGAAATAACTTTGGACTGTGGCTGTAGACTCCTCACATGTGTGTAATTGTGTGTAATTGTGTGTAATTGTGTGTTTTGTGTGTTTTTTGTGGAGGTGGAACCAGCTGGACCTGGCCATCGTGCTGCTGTCCGTCATGGGCATCACCCTGGAGGAGATCGAGATCAACGCGTCTCTGCCCATCAACCCAACCATCATCAGGATCATGAGAGTCCTGAGGATCGCACGAG